TGGGAGCAGGATCCGCCCTGCGGGTGGCTCTCCCTGCCAGCCCCGAAGCCATTCTTCCCTGCCTGTCTCTGGGGTTTCCGAGGTTCCCCACCAGCTCTGCGGTCTGGGCCCTGGGGCGTCGTCGCTCCTCCCCCAGCCCACCACCTTCCATCAGAGTCGGGGCGCAGGTCTGCCGTCCCTGCCGGCAGCAAGCACCTACCACACAAGGGACCCCTCTTTACACTGCCACATCCCAAGCCTGGTTCTCAAAACAGCCTGGCACACTGTTTCCAGGGGACAGACCAGAAAGCGGGGCTTGGAAGCAGGAGTCACCCCCCCATCAGGGGAGAAGTGAGGTTCAGCCTGGACACGTCCACATGGGCCTGCCTCCCCGGATCGTGCATCCGTACGTCCAGCACCCAGTCGTGCCCACCCCGAGGCCCCGCACACCCTCCATCGCCGCACTCACTGCCCAGCTCGCCTGGACAGCGACGCCCCTTGCTCATCGGTCTGCGCCTGCCTGCCCCTCATTCGCCACACGCTGCCCCTGGGTTGCGCCCGGGCTGGGCCTGGCCGCTGGCCCTCAGAGGGCAGAGGTCAGCCCCAGGGCTCAGCAGTAAGGCCACTGGGGTGGGTGCCGGCGACCTTCCCACTGCAGGCGACAAGCCGGCCGGGGAAGGAGGGCGCCTTCCCTCAGTGGGCGCTGCCCTGGGTGCTGTGCTGCGGCAGGCCCGCTGCGGGTGGTGGGTGGTCAGCGAGTCGGGGCCCCCAGCGGGTGCCAGTGTGCAGAGGGAGGTCTGGGGGCCCGGCAGAGCGTCTCCCCGGACTGGACTCCCACAGAAGGGCCTGCCTGTGCCATCTCCCTCCTCCTCCGGCCCGCAGACCTCGCTCCACCTTCCCACCCCAGCAGCCTGGCCTCCCTCTCCCACAGGCTGGGGGCCACGGGAATTCAGTGAAGTGGCTTCGAAGTGTGACGGTGGTCAACCAGAGACGGAACAGTCCAGAATATCATGCATGTCCTCACAACACCCCTGTGAGGTGGGGTGACTGACTCTGGCACGGGGCAGGGGGGTGCCCGGCAGGCGAGGGGCCTTGCCCCAGGGCATCCCCTGGGCACGAGAGGGGCTGCGCCCCGCTCTGTCCGGCAGGTCGCTGGCTCCAGTCTGGCGGTGGTGCTTGGCGGGCCAAGGTGACGGGTGCGATTTCTGTGTGAGACAATTCCATTGCCATGTCCCTCACTCACAGATGGCACCCCTCACCTTGAGCCCGATTCCCCAGGCGTGGGCGCTGGTCCGGTGCCATCCTGGTGTGTGGGCGACGGTGGGGTGACCGGCGAGGCTTGCAAGGAGGCAGGGCTGGCCGGCGAGTGCATCTGCCCGCCAGGTGCCCATGGGGTGGGGTCCTGCAGGCACCAAGCCAGCCGCCCGCCCCCGAGAACCTCAGTCTAGATACGAGGGAGGCGGCCCGTTGTGGGGGTAGGTGGAGGGCAGAGCACCTGTGCCCAGGCACTCCGTGCAGAGGACATCTGAGAGGCGGGAGCCTGGCATGGAGGCTCGGGGGCACTGATGGGGCAGAGCAGAGGCCGTGCTGGGAGCACTTGCAGGACCGGACAGAGGGAGGAGGAGGCCGGCCCCGCGGGACCGGACGGAGGGAGGAGGCCCCAGGTCCCGCTGCCGCAGTTCGGGAGAGACACAAGCGCACAGACTGAGGTGCCCGGGCAGGCGCGGGGGGTGCGGGGTTGTCAAGGATGGGCATGGGGTTCGGGGCCCTTCACCAGCCCGAACTGTCCGGTGTGATCCCAGCACCGGGCTGACCGGGGTGGAGTGTCCCATGAGGCCCTGGGTCTGGGCCTGCCCGCCCGGCCCTGTGAGGACACATCAGGGGTCCCCAGTCGACAGGAGGCTGGTTCTGAAGATCCAGACACTAAGCACCGGCCCAACTTCCCCACGGTCTGGGCCATAGGCCCAGCGGTGCTGGGGTCCAGCGCGGGCCAGAGAGGCCACCTCTGAGCAGCCACGTCCTGGAAGGTGGGGAGGCGGGGGGACGAGCGCCCTGCGGGACAGCGCAAGGGGAGAACCGGCCCCACGCCACGGCCCCGGCCTGGCCACAGAGGCCATGGGGACGGTCCATCAGGCCACGCGGACAGTGGGGAGCGAGGGGGGCAGGAGGACCCTGGGGCGGCTTTCTCCAGGTGGGGATGCTGCTGTCTGGGCTTTCTCTTTTTCTTTTTTTTACATAATAGCTTATTTTTACATTATTTTGTACATTTTTATTTTTTCATCTCCATTGTAATCCCCGTGGTTTCCCATCACCAAGTCACCCTGTGCCATCACCAGTGTCTGGGCTTTCTGGCTGCACCGCAGGGAAGTGCCCGGCCCAGAGCAGGAGGGAGGAGAAGACTGGGTATTTCTTTTTCTTTAGGGAAAGGTGGGTAAGACCCAACAGACAGGTTTAGAGGAAGCAAACTTCAGCGCCAGGGCGGAACGAACCCCGGGAGGAACAGGCTGCAGGCCTGGGGTGGGGAAAGCCACCGTGACGGACGACGTGAGCCAGCGCCAGGGGCGCCCTCCCTGGCGCAGGGGCGACACGTCGGAAAGGACGCGCCCGTGGGAGGCAGTGCGGGGGCTTCACTCACCCGCGTGACTTCGCAGGGAGCCCCGCTGGCCTGGTGTGTGGGCACGGCTCGGTGAGCCCAGAGCCCCTCAAGCAACCAGCTGGAAATTCACTGCATTCCACCCCGAATCTGCCGGCCACGCTGCCCGTGAGCCTGCGAGCTCTGTGCCACCCGCCCGCCCCACACCGGCCTCAGCACCCTCGCGCCGCCCGCGGGCTGTGCAGGCTTCACCTCCTCTCCGGGCCAGGCCTCTGGGTGGAGCCCAGCCCTGCACCCAGTCGGCATGCCGGCCGCAAGGCTGGGAGACCCAGGGGGAGCCTGAGGGGAGCCGGAGCGAGACCCAGGCTGAGCAGTCTCAGGAAAGATCAGGCTGGGAGGCCCGGCCCGGCGGCCCGGCACGGGACGGGCCAGCAGCAGAGGGGCAGTCCCGAATCCGTCATCACCGCTGGCTTTGTTACCCCAAGGCCGCAGGCGGCAGGCAAGCGACTGCGAGGTGTAGGCGCCCCAAACAAACGCTGCCCCAGGGAGGTGGGCTGGCACCCGCTACAGGGCTCGCGGGGCAGAGTCAGGGCAGAGGCCGGGGCCTGGGACGGACCCTAGCAGGCTGGCCGGCCCGGAGCAGAAAAAGGGTCCCCGCGGCGTGGGCCCGCTGGCCACCACGGCAAGGCACCAGCACGGAGATGGCCTCCTGGGGCTGCGCGCCGGACACGCGTCGTGAACCCGCGCCGGAGACCGGACACGGACGTCCACCCTGTCTGAGTCCAGGTACATGACCCGCGATCATAGCGGCTGGCGTCAGAGCGGCCCTGCAGGGCGGCCGCGCACGGACGCACACACGCTCGGCCGGCTGCACAGGCGCAGGTGGGCACGGCCCTGGCGGCTGTCCGCGGCGGGAGAAAGGGCTCAGCTCGGCTCAGTGAGGCCTGGGCTCCTCCGCCAGGCCAGGCCAGGCCCAGAGGCCCCAAGGCCACGCCCCACTGACCACGCCCCATAACATTGCCTCGGCCCCGCCCACAAACGCCACGCCCCTCCGAGCCACACCCCCGAGCAGCGGGGCCACACCCCCGAGCAGCGGGGCCTCCTGACCAGCAGTACCCTCTGGGCACACCCTGAAACGAGCTGGGCCCCTGCCCCCAGGCCTGGGCTCCCAGTCTGCGCGGCTGTTGCACACCCGACACGGGCCCTAGGCTGCGACAGGCTTGGGCTGCCGGGCTGCCTTGCCGTTCTGCGGGGTGGGATGGACACTGGCCGTTCACTCTGATGCTGGCGTCGCCTGGCCTGATCTTAAAGCCTTTTTTTGCCCCTTTCAGGCGTCCTGGACACACAGCCTAACTCTGGCACTCTGGGGTGTGCTGCCCAAAGCCTGGGGCCCAGGGGCAGAGGGCTTGAGCAACACTTGCTGGGTGTGATGTCCAGCCCTGTGCTGGCCGCACAGCCCCTGGGCTGACCCAGACAACAAGCACGCGCCCACCCCCACTGCCTTCACACGCTTGCGCCTTCGCGTGTAAGAACACGTCCCTGTTTAAGGCGGAGCACGGCCGCCCGTGTGCTCAGCCTGAGGCGCAGAACGCCCCCCTCGGCCGTCAGGGCGGGATCTGCAGCAAACCGCGGGCCACTTCCAGGCGCCCCGGCTCCGGCCCCCCAGCCCCGCCCTCCCTCCGGAGCTAATGCCGCAGAATTCCCATCAGCCACGTGAATTTCTGCTCCTTGGCCACCACGGCCCGCTCGGAGCTGGCCGGCACCAGGCCAAGCCTCTGCCGCTGTCGCCAAGGAGCCCAGCCCACCAGGCTCGCCCAGGCCTTCGGGGCCTTGCGGGCACAGTGCCCAGCGCGACGTGAGCCTGCCCCCTCCCGGCTCTGCGCCGTCCCGAGGGCGCAGCTCCTGCTCCCCTCGCCCGCCCTGCTGCGCCACGCCTCACCTTTCAGAGCCCAGCTCAGATGTCAGCGCCGCTGCCCGGCCGCCCGGCCACCCTGGTGGGAGCCACGTCTCCCGCTCCTCCATGCCCTGCTCTCACCGTGGTTAGCACAGGCACAGCAAGCACCGCTGGCCAGTCTGTCCACGGAGCGGCTGGGGGCGGGAGGGGCGGCCGTGGGCGTCCCACACCCTGCCCGCTGGGCCTGCTCAGGCGCAAATATCCCGTAAGTGTTTACTTAGCACGGGAGCAAACGGCTAACTCGAGGACGCACGGTGGCCTGTCCCCCCATCCCCGCTGGGGCTCTGGACGGCGCGAGCGCGGCAGGTCCCGGGCGGCTGTGGGCCAGCAGCAACGTCCACACGCCCTTCTCCTCCCTCCAGCCGCACGGGCCTGGCCCTGGAGGGCTGCCCTGACCCCGGGCGGCGGCACGGGCCCCCAGAGAGCGCAGCGCGGGGCAGGGCACAGAGGCCGGGCCGCCCAAGCCCCGCTCACCTCCTTCTTGGGAGTTCATGATGTTCAGGGCGAACAGCATGGCGTTGGAGAAGGTGGTCGCCTCTTCCTTGCTCGCGAAGTTCAAGCCGTAGACCTGGCGGGCGTCTCGCCACTGGTGGAAGGTCGGCGTCGCCTGGTTGTACTTCAGCCCTTTCACAATTGAATAATTGATCACAACCTGCGGGGAAAAGAGCGAAACGCTGTAAATAAATAAACGGTGAGTGAGCTGGAGGGAGCTGCCAGGGCACCGTGTCCCTGGGCCTCGCGGGCGGGGGCGGGGGCCGAGCCCAGGAGGCTCCTCAGTCCCGGCGAGCGATGGCCAGGGCTGGACGCGGCGACTTCCCTGCACTCGGAGCTCCGAGGCGGGACCTGAGAGCGGTAAGTGGGCTATCAGCTCAAAGCACCACTCGCAAGAGTCACACGCCCAGTCTCATCTGGACTGTCGTCACGAGCCCACCAGGAAGGTCCCGGCTGCAGGAGCCGCGCCAGGCCCGGCAGGGACAGGCCAGCGGGCAGAGCTGGGCCCGCAGCCGGCAGGGACCTGCACCAGGGCACCGGCCCTGCCCTTTCTGACATCTCTCGGAGGATGACGTCAAAGCTCAGGACGACACCCAGCACGCAGCTCCGGGGCGGCGGGGCCGGCTCGGGGTCAGCTGACCTAGCCCCTGGCACCGGCCTGCACGACGGGCCACGTGCTGGGCTGTGGCGGCCGCCCAGGGAGACCCACCACGCAGCGGGAGCCCCGGTGGGCCTCCCAGAGCCGGAGTCTTCTCCGGGGTGGCAGCCAGGCTGTGCTCTTGGTTCTGTTCTGGGGGTACATCAGAAGAGCAGGCCTTCTCCCACACGCGGCCCGTCACGGGTGTGGAACCGCGCCTCCGTCTTTTCAGTCTCCCCGGCCGTAGGCCACCACACGCCTCGCACAGGTTGGGGCTCCAGACTCCAGCGAGGGGTGCTCGGGCGTGTCCCCACACTCTTGGGGATGTCCTTCCAGCAGGATCAGACCCTCTCAGGGTGTGACCAGCATTTTGGTCACCAGACCCCGTTCAGCTAAGGATCTCATGATCTCTTTCACCCTCAGTCTGAGCCAGCTAGACCTTGGTCACCAGCACGGTGCCTCACGGGCCCTTCACTCCACAATTGAGCCCTGGTATTTAGCCCAACGGGGGCGAGAATTCTCTTATATCCTCCCGGGATAACTGGGAGGCGGAGTAAGAGGTGACAAGAACCCCCAAGCTCAGGAGCATTCAGCGCGGACGGATCCTCCAGGCCCCCGGGGCCCAGGCTGGCCCGCGTCAGCGGCCGACTTCGTGGCCCGCAGGGAGACGATGCTGTGGGATCCGTCTTTTCTCTTGTGGCCCTTGAGCGTTGCGACGGCCGGCGCCTTCCCCGGAGTGCTGGGGCTCTCTTTCCGTTCCCGACTAACACGCCCGTCCCCGCCGGGGAGAGGTTCAAGGCGCTCCAGGGCCTCCCTGGACCATGCAATTCCGAGGGGAAGGCTGTGCCGGCAACTTCTCTGCCGGCCCCCGAGCCCCGGGACCCATTCTTCCTGGAGCCGGCCCTGCTGCGGTCCTCCCCACGGAGCCCCCGGCGTGGCTTCCTCGGACGGCGGCAGAGGGGCGCGGAGCTCGGCGTGGGCCCCAGGGCGTCCTCTGCTCCCACCTGTGTCCCTTCCACGTGCCGCTGTCCTCCTTGCCCAGAGGACCAACAGGGGCACAGAGTGGAACACGTCATTGCCAAAGCGGGCAGGCAGGGGCTTCACCGAGGGAGCCCACGCCATTCAGGACCTGCCCTGCCGAGGGCGCTTCTGTCGACGGCTGTCGGGCACCGGCCCCCAGGCCCCTCGGCCGATGCGAGCGTGTCGTCACGCGACTGGGCTAAGGGTGTGGCATGTCCCTCCGCTAGAAGGCAGAGCTAGCACCAGCAAGCTGCAGGACTACAGAAGCCACTTTTAGGAAGTTTCTAGAAAAACCGTCAACCGCTGAAGCCCATCAGCAGGGCCTGCGGGTGTAAGTCCAAGGGTGGACAGGAGGCGGGCATCAGGCCCGAAGTGGAAGTGTCCTTCCAGCTGCAAGTCTGAAGCCAGCAGGCTGAGTGCGGGCAGAAACCCTGCAGCAGGCCACACGCTAAAAATAGCTGGAGTTTCTGTTCTCTTTCCTCGGTGCTCACATGCTGATCCTGCGGAGGCGGCAGACTTGCCGCTCGGCTTCGCCCGGCTTGACCCAAGGGGCAGCCGGCGAGGCCACTTGAGCAGCACTTTCACAGACCCCGAGACCGCAGGTCCGCCGGCCTCACTGGGCAACAGGCCCTGTCAGCCTCCGCGAGCTGAGGGGAGCGTCCAAGATGAACCAGGGCCACGGGGCCCCTCCACGCCGCCCACGCCGCCCGCCTCCGAGCCCCAGGCCATGACCACGCCAGCCACGCGCCACCTCACCTGACTGCCCCCGGCGGACCGTGGGCCACGCGCCGGTCTTCAAGCCCCCTGACGGTGCTGCCCGAGCGAGACTCGGAGCTGACCCATCGGGCATCTTCGAGCCAACCGTGGGTCTGCAGCTGACTCGTCCCTCCCGACACGCCTCAGGGCGGTTTCTCAGCCACCACGAGACCCCCGGTAGGTGGCGTGGGCCACCGTCCACCTCGGGGTGAGGGCGGGAGCTCAGGGAGCAGTTGGCTCGGGGCCGCGTGGGGTGTGAAAACCCTCGGCTCAGGCTGGGGCCCGGCGGCGCACCGGCGCCCGGCACTCACCTGCTGGTCCTGAAGCTTCACGCCCACGACCCGGAAGGTGCCGCTGGCAGTGTTGTGGTAGATGTGGACGCGGCTGAACCCCTGCTGGCCGGGTTTGATGGGCACCCACTTCTTACTGGTGTCATCGTAGACCATCACGGAAGCCCGGGCTTGGCAGATACTCTGTTCACTGCAGAGCAAGAGAAAACCTGGCGTGAGCCCAGTGGCCAGCGGGGCCGGCCCGAGACATCGGCCGGCAGCACCGTCCAGTGTGCGGGTAAGAGCCCCCTCCTGCAGGCCAGAGAATCGGAACCCCAAGAACCGCTGGTGTAGACGCCCCTGGCAGCTGCCACGGTCGGCAAGGAGGGGAGACTGCGGTCCTCACTCAGACCAGCGCCGTCCTCGGAGGGTGTCCAGGCCTTCCGCCCTTCACTTATGGGCAGCCCAGGCCCCCGTGACCAGTGTGGTGCCGTCTCCAGCGTACTGCAACCCCCAACTGGTCAGACGTCGCCCGAGAGCACCCCACTACAGGAGGAGAGGTGGCCATAGGGAGGAGGCCACAGACACATGGTGGGAGGGTCAGAGATCAAACACAAAGCCCAGCGACCTGGCCAGCGCGGAGAGCGGCCACGTGTGCCAGCCGCCGCTGGCCGGAGTCCTGGCAGCCAGGCCGCAGCCGCCTCAGGCTCTCCCCCACCGGGATGAAGGGCAGCGGGTGAGGGACTCGTTAGCCGCCCTGGTCCCGGAAGGGGCGGAGAAACAGCACACTGCCCGGCCCCGGGCTCCTCGTGGCCGAACCGCCACGGGGCCGAGGCTGCCTGCTCGCCGTGGGCCCAGGGTGGCTCCTGTGGCCGCCCCCCCCCCCAGGGCTTATGGCTGGTCCAGCGTGTGAACGAAAAGCACGTTTGGTGCTGGGGACCAGCTTCCACACCCACCCCGACTTCACTTAGGGTCCTCACGTGCCTCGCAGGCGTCCAGCCGATGACACGGGCCAGCACTGCTACGAGACCTGCCCGCACCTACTGCCCCTGCGCCTGGCTGCGAGCGGCAGCTCTGCTCTGGAGGCAGGGCCAGGCCCCGGCCAGACGTCCAGCCTGGCGCGGAGGCTCTGCCCACGGACCGCGGCGTCGGGAGGGGATGGAGGGCTCTGGGCAGCGGCCTGCTGCGTTTCCCCTGACCACCTGTCATCCAAACACTGAAGGGGGAGTCAGGGGTAAAGCAAGCCTGGCTCTTTCTAGAAGAGAAAACTGAAGAAGAGCTGCTTCTTCCTGAGTCAATGGTACCCCGGCTCAGGCTTTGGTTTAAGTCCTGGTCCCACAGGTCCAGCGTGAAGCCGTGCCTTCTGCCGCTGACCCGAAATACAGCGCTCGAGGGAACAAGACAGGCACCGCGCCACATGCCAGCCCCACCACCCGCCGGGTGTGACCACACGGGGGTGGTCCCGGATGGCCAATGCGGGCAGGCACGCTGGCTGGAACCCGGGGTCGGCCTGGTGTGCCCCGCCACGTGCCCAGCCTGCCAAGGGGCAGAGCGCCGCCCGGCCCAGCGGGGGCTCTGGGTGCCCGCGCACCGGCACACGGGCCAGGCTTCTCCGGGCCGCTCCCCTCCAGGGCCGCGCACGCCAGGTGCCCGGTATCCGTCCACCCCTGCTGGTGTAGGCTGCTCAAGGGGGTAGCCCCGGCTGCACCGCCTCATCGGCGGGGCCCACACTTGCCCAGCTCTGCTGTGGCTGCGCGGCCTCTGCGGCCCCTCTCATGGCAGTCAGCCCCGTCACACCGAGGAGCTCCCCACCACCCCGCCCCGTGTCCTCGCACCCCCACACAGCTCCTGCATCCCCAGGGTCTTCCTGTCCACCCGGGGACCCCAAGTGATCCGCCCTGTTCCAGGGCAGGTCCCAGGGCTGGGCCTGCTGGCCTCGGGACCCCGCAGATGACCTGACCCTCTGGGCCAGCAGGACTCGGCCTGTGCGGCGACCCACATGCATGCCAGCCGCCTGCCTGTGTGCGTGCACCCTCCTCCAGGGACCCCTCTGCTGGGAAGTGTCACCATGGTTAGCCTGTCCCCTTCATTCTGAGTGGCATTCTGCTCACCACCCCCCAAGGGGGAGCCTGTGACCGACCGGTGGACCATGAAGACCTTTGGCCATGGGGTGAGCCCGCTCGCCTGCCCTCCCGGCGCCCGGCTCTGGCGGGTCCGGTGTCCCTAGTTCTGGGTGTTCGCCTCGGGGGGCATTGCTGGGGGTGACAGGCCCTGCCCTCCGCATGCCAGGTGACAGGAAACGAGCTCTGGGGGGTTGGGGAGCCAGGGAGCCCAACACAACAGTGCGCCCCAGCATCCAGGAAGGGGGTGTGTGGGCTGGGCCAGAGGCCAGAAGAGCTGGTGTGCAAAGAACCACAAGCCCATTGTGGGGTCCCAGTGTCCAGGCCGGCACTTCTGAGGCACGTGTGGGCGGTGAAGGGCGCCCCCCTCCCCCCGTGATCCCCATGAGCCCGGGGCCCCGCAGTGAGCTGCCTTGCACATACGGCCACAGGATTCTTTTCTTGGTGGTTGTTTTTTAACACTTCAGGTTCAAATTAAACTTGTGGTTAACCAAACCTTGGCTGTTTTCCACCCCCCACCCCCACCCGACCCGCGCTGCCGGTCCCTGCCGAGCCTGTCTCTCCCCATAAATCTAGCTGCAAGAGAAGACGGCGCGCCATGGCTCACTGCACGGCGTCTTGGCGGTGGTCTCCCGGCTGACCCTGCACCAGGCCTCGGCGGCCCCCCAGCCTGGCCGAGTGAGCGCGACGCTCACCTGCCGCCCCCAGCCCGCGGGGTACACGGCGCCCAGGACACACAGGCCCTGGCATCACCCCCTCGACATCTGGACCAAGGACAGCAGGTGTGGCAGACAAAATACCTTCAAAAGCACCATTTCTTGGACTTTCTTCCATTTGTTGAATGAATGAACTACTTGAAAAAAAGCCACGAACGGGCCACCTTCCTTTCACTAAATTCAAAAGGCCACTGCCTTCGCCCCCAGCTGACCCCTCCAGTTCATGTCTGGGACACAGCCTTGGCCCCCCCGGGCCCCCAGGTGAAGCCGCAGAGGAAGGTGGGGCTACTCCCCGTCTCTGGGGAGCTGCGCACCCCCCCACGGCCCCAGGGCCTCTGAGCAGCTGGGCGCTGCCCCCACTCCCCGCCCCGTTTGCCCTCGCGACTTCCCGGGCCTGAGCCGGCGCCGGGTTCATCAAAGTGCCATTCTCAGACCCCTGGCGGCGCAAGCCACGCCTTCTAGCTGATTCCGGCACACGGGCCGCAGAGGGAACCGAGCCGGGCAGAGGTCGGCCGCCCACCGGTGCTCGGCCGGGCCCGGCCTCCCTGTCCGTCCACGGCACAGGCGCCCACTCTCCGCAAGCCTGAGCAGAACCCCCCATGCAGCAACCTGCCCGGGTGTCTGCTGGGAGCGGAAGTCACCTCCGCTCCACGCCCACGGCGCTCACTTCCCTCCCCAGCCCTCGTCTCTCCTCGAAGCCTTCACCTCACCCCCAGGGGCCCCAGAACGCCCTGCGCAGGCTGCTCTGGCCGGGCCTTCCCTCTGCCCCCCTCGGCCTCCCGCCTCACGGGTCTCCCCCGATTCCCGTGGGGTGTCGGCAGCTAACGCCTGCCAGCACCTGCAGCAGCACTGCCAGGGCCACGGGGCCACGGGGCCACACCCTGCTCTCCGCCTTGCGCCTGCCGACGCTGTCCTGGCTGGGGTGCCTGTCCCGGCGCGCACACCAGCGTGGCCTTCCCCCAGACTGAGGCGCGAGCTGCCCGCGGAGGCCTTGCAGAGGAGGCAGGCGAGGCAGGCGCACCGCCTCGGGACCTCCCGCAGGGGCCCCCACTCCTGGCCCCGGGGCCTCGCCGGAGGACCGGCTTTCCTGCCGGCGCTCACCCACGGAGGCCGCTCCGCCTCGACTTCCAGGACTGGGGCAGGCTCTGGCCAGGGAAGCTCTCGCGCCTGCTCCCCCGCCAGACAGCCCCGGGCCGCCGGGCACAGGCTGTGAGCAACGAGGCCCATGTGCCCACCTCTGCGGGCTGCCGTGGGGGCCCCTGCCTGGGAGCCGGGCCAGCACACGGTCCTCTCCCGGCCAGTGAATGGTCCTCTCCCGGCCGGAAAACAGTCCACTCCCGGCCGGCGCATGGTCCACTCCCGGCCAGCGCACAGTCCTCTCCCGGCCAGCGCACGGTCCTCTCCGGGCCACGCGCCACCCTTCCTACAGGTGGTCTCACAGCCAGGCCCACGTGCCTTCAAGCATACTCCCTGCAGGGAGCACCCACTAACGACTGGCCTGAAGTCTCCCCAGGAGCGAGACACCCCTCACTGCCTAGCCTCTGTTGTCCTCCTCCTTTCTCTGGAGGCCTCCTCCTTGGGGTCCGACTCGCCCACGCCCCACTGCCCCCCGAGGGCCCGGCTGCAGGCTGCTGCTCCTTCCCAGCTCACGGGGTGACGGGCGTGGCCTCGTGCTGAAGCTTTCCCTTGGCTCTCGTGGTAGCTGGTTCTCGCGACTGTCCCTTTCCCGACCACTGTCCTTCCCCGGTGGACAGGGGCAGAGGGGGGGAAGCCAGAGGGAGTCAGGTGGGCTGGGGCTGGGGTGGGGAAGATGCCGTGACTGGGAGGTCTGAGGGCAGGGAAACGACCTTCCTGACTGGCTGTCATTTGTTGGCGTTGGACAGACGGCAGTTGAACGAGCCTGGGGACTCGGGCTGGTGCCCAGGGACACCTAGGCCGGGAGCCTGCTCCGGCGGCCAGCTCGCCTGCCTGTGGGCAGGACGGTTCGCGGGCCTGCAGTGGACTGGGCGTCACCTCCCAGTCGACTGACCTTCCTGGAGAAGACCGAGGTGGTCACCTTCGTCCCCTACGGTGGCAGAGAAAGCTGGGGTCGCCCAGACAGGGCTGGGCCTCAGGACTGTCGCTGGCCCCGGAAGCCAGGCCTCCCAGCTGGGCAGGTGCTGGGGACTGAGGTTTTCTGGCTCTCGGTGAAGAAGGGTTTTGGTTTTCTCTTGAAAAATATCGTTCACGTCTGCGGTTCCAGTAAGTGCAATCTAGTGATCGCTCAATTAGCTCCTGTGCACACACGCTGTAGGTTTGCCAGTCTGGTCAGTTCTCCAGTTCTCAGCCTCAGGGGCCGTGAGGGGTCACTCACCAGAGATCCCACCCCTGCTCGC